CTGTTCAAACCTAATAAAAGTGCTTGAGATTTTATCTGCTGTGTGTATAAGTTCAGTGAGATTTTATATATATATAAACAAATTTTTTTTTATTCAATAAGGACACGTTAATTTGATCTAATTTGATCAGAGTGTTAAATGAACACTGAAGCAGTGTTAAAGTTGATGTGATAATTAAGTGAATAATTGAGTGATGATTGAGGATTATTGAAGACACCTGATGGTAACAAGCAGAATCACTGAAGGAGAAAACCGTAATGTGCGAGTCACCATTATGGTGATCAGTGTTTGTTTTAGTTGGGCTCTTGACCGTCACATCATTAACTTTATATTTTGTTTGGCTGCTGTGCTGTACATGTATTATAACAGCCAGATAAACAAATAGAAAAGGTGATCTGATGGTGTTGGTTATGTTTTAACATAATCAATATTTCACAATCATTTGACCTGAATCACTTAACTCATATAGAACCCAATTTCTGAGTTAATTTGATCTACAGTGACAGTAAAAGCTTCTACATATTCACAAAATGTTTTTATAATTTATAAAAAAAATTGCATTCTTTGATGAATTGAAAGTTATCACTGTTTACACTAATATATTAAGCAGCAACACAACTGTTTTCAACATCGATATTAACCCTTTCATGCATAGAGGTCACAGTGGACAGCCATTTAAAAAAAAAAAGTATTTTTTTGCAAAAGCATGGGTTTTGATGGCATAGTTGCACATAAACCACTACAGTGGACCTATATGCATCATCCTATACATTTCCACCAAGTGGCAAGCCGTTGTATGTCATTCCCCAGTCAGAAATGCCAAGTTGCTCTGGAATATCCATCCATTCCTTCTATCCTAGGAGACTCTTGCAGGTAAAAAATAAATAAATAAATTTTAGCATCAAGCAATATCTAACGAGTCATATCAGTTATATTTTCCAAGTGTTGGTTTTAGATTGGGAGGAAATTCTGATTAATCATCTGTCCACTACATTGAACATCATGCATCACTAGCTACAATTTATTCTATTACTGTGACTTGTTTTTGAAAATACTTCAACTGCAGTAACTTTTGACTGTAAATAAATGCATTTGTGTTATCAGAATGTAATTTGCATCAACATCAAAAAGTAATCTGATTACATAATGCACGTTACTTGTAATGTATTACTGTACGTACTCGTAACATCAAAAAAGTAATTGATTAAATAATGCATGTTACTTGTAATGCGTTACCCCGCAACACTGCTCATTTCAGATTAAATTAAAAACTCTTGATCACTAGGTTTTCTCAGAGAAGAGCTAAATGTGTCCATCTTTAATATAATTAGAATAATCAGCTAATAAGGGTAAATCGACACTCTGGTTGTAGCGATCTTTGATGGAATCACATCCTCATGTTCTGATATCAAAGACACATGAAGCTCAACTTGTATGAAGTTCAATTGCGTTTGCAATAATTTGCATTTATATTTTTTGTATATATATATTAGGTTTCACATGATTTTATATAATTTTATTAATTGGTTTGTTAAATACACACAATATTGTTGTGTTATTACTGTACTGTTTAATACAGTGTCTCTTCAGTTAAAACCATAAACGCATACTGTCCACTCAAGTGGACATCTGAAAATCTCTGAAAAATGTGTAAAAAAAATACATTTCAAATCTTGTTTTTCATGCCCTAAGAGCAATAAAAACACATACACTCAAAAAAATTATATGTTGGCTTTAATTAACTTTTTTATGTTAACAGGTTCCATAAATTAACTTTTTGTTATGTCAACAGGTTCCACATAACTGGGTTACGTTAAACAAACATAATTTGTTCATGAAACTTCAACATCATGGAATGAGTCATTTTGAGCAGAGTGTTAAATGAACACTGAAGCAGTGTTAAAGTTGATGTGATAATTAAGTGAATAATTGAGTGATGATTGAGGATTATTGAAGACACCTGATGGTAACAAGCAGAATCACTGAAGGAGAAAACCGTAATGTGCGAGTCACCATTATGGTGATCAGTGTTTGTTTTAGTTGGGCTCTTGACCGTCACATCATTAACTTTATATTTTGTTTGGCTGCTGTGCTGTACATGTATTATAACAGCCAGATAAACAAATAGAAAAGGTGATCTGATGGTGTTGGTTATGTTTTAACATAATCAATATTTCACAATCATTTGACCTGAATCACTTAACTCATATAGAACCCAATTTCTGAGTTAAGTTTACCTTATGGGTTATAGCAGCTCTGTCATTGTAGAGCACATCGATTTTAGCCTTTTCAATGAAATCCAAATGATCAAATAAATAAATATAAAGAAACTTCTAAAAGAAATATATATAAATATATATGTAGGCACACACAGACATCAAAATTTAGCATATGAATCTCAGCAATGGTGACATACCTCTTAACATAAGCTCATTATTTATTCATGTAACAATGCATGATGGGAGCCATGAATGGGTTTTGATTGGTGGCACCCAGAATGCACTGCAACATGCTTTATAATTGTCACCATTGTTGAGATTCACAGGCTGATTCTTGATGTCTGTGTGTGCCTACATAAAAAAAATTGTTTTGAAATGTCTTTATTTTTTATTGGTTTGATCATTTTGATTTCATTGAAAAGGCTACAAATGGTATGTGCTACAATGACAGTGCTGCTATATTCCATAAATTAAACTTCACTCAGAAATTGGGTTCTATATGAGTTCAGTGATTCAGGTAAAATGATTGTGAAATAACGATTATGTTAAACATAACCAACACCATCAGATCATCTTATCTATTTGTTCATCTGGCTGATATAACTCATGCCGCAGCCAAACAAAATCTAAAGTTAATGATGTGAGGGTCAAGAGCCCAACTAAAACACACACTGATCACCATAATGGTAACTTGCGAATTCCGGGTTTTCTCCTTCAGTGCTTCTGCTTGGTACCATCAGGTGTCTTCAATAATGATCAAACATCCTCAATTATTCCCTTAATTATCTCATTAACTTTAACACTGCTTCAGTGTTCATCGCTTAAAATTACTTAATTCCATTATGTTGAAGTTACATGAACAAATTATGTTTGTTTAACGTAACCCAGTTATGTGGAACCTGTTGACATAAAAAAAGTTAATTAAAGCCAACATATCATTTTTTTGAGTGTAGGGAAACAAATCCTTACTGAGTTTATCATAATTCAAGCATGAAAGGGTTAAGAAGAATGTTTTCAATCTTTGAATTGGTATATGCATCTCTTATAAACTGCATTGGTAATATCTTGAATCTCTGAGCATGGAAAGACATATTTGATCCCTGAGGGTAAATTCTGGGAGTGAGTCACGTCACCATGGTGTCACCTTGTCTTCCATCCTTCCTGACCCATAAGACCTGGTGTCAAATCTGGGATGTGGATGGATTATCCGAGCGGACCCCTGTGCGTGTTTAAACATTGTTTGACAGGAACTCAATCAGAACTTGAAACTCTGTGATGAGTCAGTCGTACAGCGTCGGTCACATTCTCTGCTCCGATCGCCTCGAGGGAGACCTCCTCTGTAATTAACACTGCCGTCTGGCTGGAGTGTTTGCACAGTGTTTTTTCTCTGGGCCAGTGTAGGGTCAGGGGGTCACAAACGACGGATCTGAGGACACAGTGGCCACTTTTTATAGCTTAGAGGAAATTAGTTAGACATTGACTCATTTAATGAAACATGCTCATCTTGAATGTTTGATATTGGGGTCACTGGAGTTGACGTGTCTGGAAAAAAAATTTAATTCACAGAATATTGTATGGATGTACAATAAATATCTACAATGATCCAATTTAGACAGCTGATGGCACAATTAATATCTTAAAAATGTACCATGTCTTAAAAGCTGACCTCAGAGAATAGCCTCTTTTGCTTGATACTGTTAAAAAATTTGGGGTCAGTAAGATAAATTGTTATAGTTTTTTTTTTTTTTTTTTTTTTTGTAGGAACAGTAACAGTAGTAATGATGCATTCAATTGATCAAAACACAGTAAAGACATGTATAAAATAACATGGAAAAACATGTATCAGGATTTCAATTGCTTTCAACATTGATAATATTCAGAAATGTTTCTTGAGCACCAAATCAGCATGCAATGATTTCTGAAGGATCATGTGACACTGAAGACTGGAGTAACGATCCTGAAAATAAAGCTTTGCCATCACAGACATAAATTTACATTTTGAAACATGTTAAAAGAGAGTATTAAAATTAAATTGTAATAATATTTCGGTTTTTATTTTTGAACAAACCAATGCAGGTTTGGTGAGCATAAGAGACCAATTCAAAAATCTTACCGACCCCAAACTTTTGAACTGTTAATGTTTTTTTCCCCCTTTCTTTTTGCATGATCTTTGTATATATAATTAAATAAAATGAATAGAGTCAATTCCTTTTCAAATTAAATCCTAAATTAATATACAATAGCATAATATACAATAATTCGCTAAATTAAAAATATAAAACAAATAGAATAATTTCCCTAGTGCTTAGACATTTTTCTCTCTTTTCTTTAATTAGCACTTCTCCACACTTGGTCGTGACACTTTTTTTTTTAAACTGCTGGATAGCGTCAAATGTGATGTAGTTGCATAACGTTTCTAGGCGTAACTCATGTGTACATTGATGTGTGTTTAATATTTTTTGGTGAGATAGGGGACGCTGGGGTCAACAGTGTTTGAAGATGATAATTGGCATTGAGCTCATCTTCCACATGCTCTCCTCCCAATGGAGCCACAATGAGCAAAGTGTTTGAGGACTGGGGAGGTCAGAGTGTGTGCGAGTGTGTTTTTAGACAGGGAGGGGAGATCTGGTGTGGAACATAAATTGTGAGGAAGAGGAGGAGGAAGATTCCAGAGAATGAGTTGCAGGCGTATCTCAGAAGCTCTGTGATTGAACAGAACCGTTCACTCGAGGGAAAGCGGACCATATCAGGTTCACCAAGACCAGGACTTCACAGTAGAGGAACTACTAGAGAATAATCTTCAAGAGAAGACGTGCCAATAGATAAAAGGTAAGAACAGTGTTTCAATTTGTTCAGTTGTGATTGAAGAATTGATTTAGTTGTTATTGACTGTTAAATGTGTCAGTGCAGTCATTGCTCACTCTCTTTTTGTGTGATAAATCTGTCCTCTTCCCTCAGTTATGGTGCACATCTGCAGGCTGCTTGTTCTGATGGGGATGTTGCTGTGTTTAAGTGCCCAGTTCGCCAGCTCTCAGCACTGGTCTCATGGCTGGTACCCTGGAGGAAAGCGAGAGATAGACATTTACGATACATCAGAGGTGTGTGAATATTACTAAAGAAAGTACAAGACAGTTAGAAAAGCATGGTCTTGTTGTGATGTGCCACACAATGTAAAATTCTTCATTATTTCTAATGAAAAACGATTGGTTGACTGATTGGTTATCATGTGGTAAGTTGCTTTTTTTCATATACTGTGAGGAGTTAGATTTAAAAGGGGGGGGGGGGGGGGGGGGGATATTCATTTTTAGTTAATTAATTAAAATACATTTTGTTAAAAAATTACATTTAAAAAAATGTAAAATATTTAAATTTTATTTTAAGTAATTTACTGTCAAATGTTTTTAAGTCGTGTTTTTAAGTCATACTAATTGTTATATAATTTACACTAAATATCTATATCATTTATTTTTTTAATCAACATTTATTTTTACAGTGAATTATTGTGGTTATGATTTCGTAATGTTTTTAAAAAAAAGTCTCTTATACATTATGATTTATTTGATTGAAAAATACAGGAAGAAAACTGTAATATTGTGAAACATTATTACAAGTAAAATAATGTTTTTTCCATTTTCCATATTCTTTTTCTAATATAAAGTTCAAATATAAAGCATTTATTTGACATCGAAAAAAGCTGGGAACATTATAAATGTTGTCACTGTCACTTTTGAGCAATTTAAAGCATCCTTGCTGAATAAAAGTATTCATTTCTTTCAAGAAAAAAAATCTTATTGACCTCAAACTTTTAAACTGAGGTGTATGTTTATTCTTATTTTAGATTTAATTGTTTATTTACTACATTGTTAATTAATGGATAACAATTTACAATAAGGTTAACATGAATTGATGTATTAACTAACATGAACTATGAGCAATACATTTGTTACTGTATCGTTAATCTTTGTTAACGTTAGTTAATAAAAACACCGCTGTTCATTGCTTGTTCATGTTAGTTCACAGTAAGCTAATGTTAATAAATAAAACTTTTTATTAATTTTAATAATGTATTAGTAAATGTTGAAATTAACAGACAAAGGTTAAGAAATGCTGTAGATGTGCAGTTCATTATTAGTTCATAATAAGTTAACTAATGAAACCTTATTGTAAAGTGTTACCAATGAATGTTTATTGCATTATTTTAGTGTCACGTGTCTTACCCTGATGGGATTTAGTGTTTGTGTGGAAGCACTGTACTGTCTTTACATGTTTATTAGCCTTTGTTTATGCAAAGACATATTTTGATGAACTTTAAGCCATCGCTTTGCCGTCTATTTGACTTTAAAATCAGGTTTCAGGGGAAATTAAACTCTGTGAGGCAGGAAAATGCAGCTATCTGAGACCCCAGGGAAGAAACATTCTGAAGACAATACTGGTGGGTATACAGCTCTTGTTTTTGTTTGTTTGTTTGTTTTTTTTGCATAAGCTAGACATGACAGAATATATTGAGTATTTCTCTACATGACTAACTTGTTTCAATGACTTTAACAGCTGGATGCCCTAATACGGGATTTCCAAAAGAGAAAGTGACACCAAGATGACTCATCAGCCCTTGTCCAAAGAAACAAGCTTTCCAGCAAACACATTAGACCTGCATTTACATTCAAATATATGAATATAAATATATATTTTTTTCTGTGATTTTAATTTAATTTTTTATGTTCTACATTTTGTTCTGTTTGTGAGTAAACCTACTGCCGGCATTATGTAACCATTTGCTGCAGTTCCTACAATAAAGGCTTTATTTTGGTATTTTGTTTTAATTGTTCAGTGTCTTTTTTGTATTAGTTATAGGTACATTCACAGAATTTGCACAAGACAAGAGAGAAATTGTTTCTAAACAACTGTGTGTGTGTATGTTGTTTTTTATATAAAAAAATAACTGTTATCAACTGCAAAAAAGTGGCAAACGTCTATATTTATTTAGTGAAATAATGTTTATTAGAGTAAGCAAATTAATATATAGCATATTGTTTTATTTCATTATATTTTAAAATCTGTAATATATTATAACAAGTTAAAGTATATATATATATATATATATATATATATATATATATATAATTCTGTTTTCATTTTTATATTTTAAAGTTGTTTACATGGATGACAAAAGATATTTCGTTTGATTCGGCAGTGTTTTTGTTTAGCCACCAGATGGCGTAAATGGACATCAAAATTTGGCCCAAGAATAATCAAGTTAATATTGGCATTCTTGTTCAAACTAAACTCAATGTCATGCAAGCCAATATGATAATTATGTAAAGCATGTGCTATCAAATGAAAATGCAAGAGCAGTTGATGGCTCTTTTGGTAGCATTATGAATACACATCCCTCGCAAATACCATCTTGCCATCAGATTTGACAGAAAGGAAAGGACCAAGACAATATAACTCATAATTTCTAAATAAACACATCTCTTGACCCTGGTATGACGAGATAGTGAAGATTTGCAGGGGGAAAAAATCCACTGATTCAGACAAGTTCCCCTTTAGAGCCGGAGAATTTGAGAGCTCAGTCAACACATGCAGCATCATGTCCCCCCCCCCCCCCCCCCCCCCCCCCCCCCCTCTCTCTCTCTCTCTCTCTCTCTCTCTCTCTCTCTCTCTTCACACACAGTAGTTTGTGATTTGCAAGCCCCACATTCACATGGAATAACATTACTGTTCTCTTCTAATCCAAAAATCAGCACTGAACATGATTTAGACAAAGACATTGTATTCATACATATGAGGTTGTCATATTAAGTGTACTGTACATAAATCATTTTGTTTCTTTAGCCGGTTTTCCAATCAATGATTCAGTAACTGATGACATTCCCCAAAGGAATAAAGATCCTACAGCAGACAGGCATACAGAAAATATGCACCATTCATTAACAGCCTATACCATCAGGGATTGTTTTCGTAATACATAGCTCTATGTGACGAATGAAAACGGAAATAAGCAGGAAGCCACTTTGGCAAGCCCGCAACTTTCATTTCTGCACAAACTTTGAAAATGGAACAGCATTGTGTGTGTGTGGTTCAGGCTATACCAGAATACCTGACATTGCTTGCTCCCTGTGTGTGTGTGTGTGTGTGTGTGTGTGTGTGTGTGTGTCCTCAATAAAAACACAACCATTAACAATGAGGATGAAGTTGGTCTAATAGTCACAGTATTTCCCTTTTATTTATTATGTAAATTGATATTATTTCCACCATTTGGCCCATAACATGTTATATGGTTTAACATCCTATTGGTTTAACAAATCCAAATACATTGTCCCCGCCCCACTGCCACCAGAGGTAAAGTAATTCAACAATATAAAAAAAAAGTAAAAAAAAAGTCAACACTGAAACTGTTTAGCTAGACAAAACACGTGTATCCCCCACATGTTTTGTCACGCATAGTTAATCAAGTATAGGCCATATGTGTAATCAAGTATGCTACAGTATAAGGGACGTGAAAACAATCCCACTCGGCGTGAACTGCTCAAACTCTTCGAACATCACTTTTTATTTCTCATACATTAACTCCGTCATAAGCAAAAACAGATGTGTGATAGTCATTTGATAGCTTTCTTGCTAGTTCTTGCGAAAGAGGTGAGTTAAGGCAAAATACTTTATTGGCTGGATTATATTTCCCAGTTTAGGCTGCAGTTTATAGATAAGTGTCATAGCCTAGGCTACTATCTTCTAAACGCAGGCTATCTTTGGGGAAAACGCAAGCCTATCAAAGATAAATGTTTTTCTTCATAATATCAACGCCATGTCTTCATGGCAATGGACTTTTCTGAACTCAGTGTATCTCATCGGTCGGGAATTTATTTATGATTGTCGGGGTGTGTTTAAAATAGATTTGAAATAGGGAAGCAGTAGGCTATGTCAGCAGTGTCAGCAACCGAGTGGCTACTTTTCTCTGGGCTGCACTGTCTTGGATTTATGTAAATCCTTTGTTAAGTTTGTCATCTGTCGATGTGGAATTAACATTTTATTATTATTATTATTATTATTTTTACCAGTTAGCCTACTTCAGCTCCAGAATCTCACTTCCATGTTTGCGGAGGACGTCGATACATCGTAAGTTTCACTAATGTTAAAATTGAGTTCTATCCGCTAACACGTAAACTGTAGAACACTAATAACGTTTCAGGCTAAAGAAATGTACTATTAAGCATTTATAAATAGCCTACTAGGCTATTCATTTGCAAAAAACAAAAACATATGCCAAAGCGATAGCCTATCTCCAATTGCATTTATAAACGTGAGAATTCGATCAAATAGGTATATGTATATTACCTCAAAGGGGCTGTTGTATTAACTTGGGAGAACAGCAAATATAATTATGCTTCAACGAGGTAATTAAAGTAATGAATGAAACTACTAAAGTTAGAAGTTGGACTGGGTCACTCACTATCAGCTGTGAACGTGATGGGCGCGCGAGAGAATAAATGTGTGTTCTTATAGGCTATAATTAAAAAAAAAAACATCTGTCAGTATGTAGGCTAATGCCTAGCCTGCACCGTCATGTCGTTCCAAGCCCGTACGACTATCATTCTTCCTTGGAACACCAAAGGCAGATTTTTACGGACTTACTGCCAGTCACCATTCATCTTGTTTACATTGGTTTACATAAGGTTTACAACTAGCCGTTTCTCGGACGATATGCCTTCTTGTGTTCTTGTGAACTTGTTGTGAGACGTCATCAGTATTGCCCAAGAACTGTTCCAATTCAAAGTTCACATATGGCCTGTCATAATGGTTATTTGCTCTAAGGATTCCACCAAAAAAGGAAAGTCATAGGGACAACGTGAGGCGTGGGAAACGATGCCGTTTCGTTTCTGTGCGATCCAACGACACTGACCTAAACTGAAACTAATAGCCTACTGACTTCTGACAAATTATAAAACCGCACTCGTGGATTCTCACAAGCTCTGACTGGAGGATGGGAAAATGTGTGGTCTACCTTAAAAACGACTTAACATTAAATAATAAAACACTCGTTATAACAATTTATTAGAGCTTTCATAGTGTACAGGCTAATTAATTGATACTGTTAATCTCTTGTTTTGTTACAACATAATAGCTTATGTCTAACTGGTTGTGAGATATGGTGCGGATGACACTAAAAAAAAAACAAGTGCAAAGAGAAAAAATACAGTTAGCCTATAGTTCTTCTGTGCCAAAATAGTTACAAACACAGTCCAAGCAAAAACGGACTAAAAGCTGGACTGGAACAACGTAGCCGTCAGTGGGTCACCAAAATATAAACAGCATGCAAATTCATATAACCTGGATATATGCAATCATTCTGGAAAATTTGAAGACTTGAAGCTTAAGCTATTTTTTATTCTATTTTTTATGGCATTAGGTTGCACTGCTCATGCTCATCAAACTCATGGTCATGTTCACTCAGAGGATATTTCCAATGCTGAGCAAGTTTCATCTTAATACCTCAAAGTATTAGGTATGGCCACACTTCCTAGCATACACAACATCAAATTTATTGGTTCAGTTGCATGAATTTTACTAACATGGGCTTTCATTTCTCTCTACAGAATGAGAAGTTTTTGGCTTCACCTCAAACTGAGAACAGCCATATTTATCTTTTTAATACTGGCATTTATTATATGTTTTTTTACAATCACTTTTTCAAGAGTAAATAAAGGCGGAGGACAGAAAACTAGAGTTTCTGAGAGGCAACGGCTGACCGTACAGTATGGCATTAATTGCACAGCAATATATGAAATGGAACCAGTGGAAGTGGGGAAAACTTTAGCCATTCGCAAGCAAAAAACCTACGTATCAGCAACTGACCAGACTATCGCTGATGCCACCACTGGTTGTGATCAGTTTGCATCACAGGGCTATGATGCGATTCAAGGCACTGAATTTGAGCGTGAATTTCCTCTTGCTTACTCTTTGGTTGTTCACCACGATGCAGCTCTTGTGGAGCGGATGCTCAGGGCCATTTATATGCCGCATAACATATATTGCATACATTATGATCTGAAGTCCTCAGCTGACTTTATTTCAGCAATGAAAGGTCTGGCCCGCTGCATCCCCAACGTCTTCATTGCCTCTAAACTGGAGAGGGTGCAGTATGCAGGCATCTCACGACTCAAAGCGGATCTGAATTGCCTGTCTAACCTGCTAGATTCTGTGGTAAAGTGGAAGTATGTCATCAACCTGTGTGGTCAGGACTTTCCACTGCGGACAAACGCTGAGCTGGTGTCGGACCTGAAGGCGCTGAAAGGCAGGAACATGGTGGAGAGCAAGCGGCCTGAAGGAAAGAAATGGCGCTGGAGTGTTCATCATATCCTGAAAAATAACAAATCTGAGTACTATGAAACGCCTGTTACCACTTCTGAGGAGAAATCTCCACCACCTTACAACATTGAAATGTTTGTGGGCAGCGCATACTTTACTCTCTCAAGGGAATTTGTGTTTTTTGTTCAATGGAGTTTCCTAGCCAGTGATTTCTTGGCTTGGTCTGAGGACACATACTCACCTGACGAGCATTTCTGGGCGACTCTGGTTCGTGTGCCTGGAGTACCAGGTGAGGTGCCAAGATCTGAACCTGAGATCTCAGAACTGATAAGTAAAACTCGCCTAGTGAAGTGGTCCTATTTAGAAGAGAATCTTTACCCACCGTGCACTGGAGACCATGTGCGAGGAGTGTGTATTTATGGTGCTGCTGAGCTCAGATGGCTCCTAAACTATGGCCACTGGTTTGCTAATAAAGTAGATCCAAAAGTGGATCCTGTTCTTATGGAATGTTTAGAAGAGATACTTTTAGAAAAGCGTCCAAAATTGCAGTAAAATTATCTTATTTTTATACTGGTGAGACATTTGCATTGGTGAAAAAAATAGATATATTGTGATTTTTGGAAAATCCAAATGAACTTACTTTGAGTATGAAGTATACTTTGAAAATTCACTTCTTATTGTGTTGTAAATTTCTGTATAGTTATTAGCCCGCATGAAGTGCGATTCTTTGCCAACAATATAGTTTTAGGCTTTGATGCCATGTACTCTTTTAGGTGAACACTTGTTCTATTGTTAACGAGACATGTCATTAACATGAGACAAAATGTGAATTTCATTAGAGCAAAGTAAAGGAGCACAAATACATTTACCCAGTTGTTAAAAAAATATATTGAAAAGTAAAGGAGCACACTTGATCAATGTTGACAAAAAAAATCTCTCTGAGCAAAAGTTTTAAACACAATTACAGAATCAAAATCAAACTCACTGGATCGTCCATGTCCTTAGATCAAGTTAAAGATAGATAGATTAAGTTTGAGATAGATAAATACATAAGCAAAAAAAGAATGGCGAACTTTATGTTGACTCAAAGCAACCTATGCAATAATCACCAGGAATGAATTTGCATGTGCTGCCTTTGTTCCTTTTGCAACTGATTCACGGAAGGAATCATGCAAATGATAAACTCAACCCCAAAAGAAATTAGAGCTAGACAAATTTTGCATGTTTTTTTGAAGACTTGTGTTCTCACTTATTCTACTGGGAACCCAGCGATCCAGACACCTAGAATAAATAGCTCTTCAACATTCAGAAAATGTGCTTGACTATCATTTGATGAATAACTGCTGCCATGATCAACAGAAAATGTTTTTCTTTCTATTTTGCATTTGCTCAAGCTAGATTCTAGATGGTTAGTGAAAAAAAAGGGTTTGCGCTGAAATGCAAAACTGGTGCATCTCTTATGAATTCACCCCTGAGCATTAGACTATTTTTGCTGATATTAACAGAAAGGAAATGCTTAAGAATTTCCTTTGGTTAAATAAAAAGCTTGCTCTTAATTTTCACTTCCAGATGCATTCTTTAGTACACTTTGAACACATTTTTTGCACAGTGGGTGTACAATCCCCAACTTTTATTTTTTAATTCCTTTTAGGGATGCATGTTATATCGGCCACCATATCGGTATTGGCCGATATATATTCATTTTTAATGTTATCATTATCAGCCCAATGAGAAAACTTGTCTAAAATATATTAAAGCTGATAAATAATGGGTTATTTCCTTCAGCTGAGACACTTCAGATGCACGCACTGTTCACCATAGTTTTGAACTGTTTGAAATATGAATGGAATCATTTAAAAAGGGAAAAAACAGTTAAGTGTCAAGCAAGTCTGTATAGGTTAAGGCTACATAAAATCATAATGAGAACATCATAATAATTGTGTGCTTGGGACATGGATTTAATGGTGAGACTTTTGTTTTTGTAATCAGGCTCTCAAAATGATATACAAATTTGGATTTAGATTTATTGGCCAATATATTGGTTATCTGCTAAATATAAAGAATTAAACACGCTAATTAAACCTCACATTTTTCACCTATGTTCAGAGAAATAACCAGCTTTACAACCACTGTGTAGTCTTAACTCATGACAGAAATGCATTAATAAATAGTCTATACCTGGAAAAGGGAGAAAATAAACATTCATAAATGAGAAGACACGGACTCGTTGTTGTCTGTGCGTCGAGCTATTGGCTGTGACGCACAACATAGTTTGTGTCAGCTGCTGCCTGCAGCCTCTGATTTCACCCTAGTGGACATTTCTTGAATTACACTACATTTTTCTACAGTTAACCAACAAAACAACAATAAACTCACATACCATATTGTTTAGTATTGCATACATCATATTGATCCTTTTAACCACACTACACATGGAGCAGTTAGTTTCACCGAAGGACCGTCTCTGTGATATAATTTCCTGTCACATGGTCTTCTTACACAATATTAACAAAATGACTCCTTGAATGGTGGTTACACCACCTTGACACTTCAGGAATTTTACTTGACTCACATGATTCTCCAAATTAATTATAATATAAGAAAACATGACTCATCGGACCAGGCGGCCTTCTTGCACTGCTCCAAGATCCAGTTCCGACGCTTGCATACCCATTGTAGGGGCATTCGACAGTGGGCAGGGGTCAGACACTCTGATTGGTCTGTGGCTATGCAGCCCTATACGTAGCAGAGTGTGATGCACTGTGTGTTGTGACACATGTAACCCATCAAGTCCTACTCGCCCCACTTCAAGCGGGACTCGAGCCGGCATTCCGGCATGGGAGGCGGGCGCGCTAACAAGGACGCTAAAGACGGCAGTCTCTAGTCCACCTCTTGAGATCATGGGAGTGCGTTTTACCTGCACAGCTCTCACACACTGGCCTACGTTACACTCACCCCCGTTAACCTCACTCCCATTCGGGTCACGGCACCAAACCCCTCCGGTCCTACTCACCCTGTTCCGAGTGGGACTCGAACCTTCGTTTCTGGCATGGGAGGCAGGCGCGCAAACGAGGACCCTAAAGACCGCTTCTCTTGAGATCAGGGGAGTGAGTTTTACCTGGACAGCTCTAGCTGGCCTCCGTTACACACATTGTGACACTTCTATATAAGGACTAAGAGAAATACACATGCTTTATTAAATGTGAAGGAAAAAGGAGGATAAAATACTGTAAAATAAGTATAGGTATGTTTCAATTGGTTTCAGGCCTTAGTTGAAGTTCTCTGTCTTTTGTATGTGGGACTTTTATGTTTGGTGAAGAGACATTCTGTGGTTGGAAAAATGGACTTGTATGCAAAATGGACAGGAGAGCACCCTGGAAGAGGAAGGCCTTGTTTAGTAGAAAAGGCCAAGCCAGGTTTTGGCAAGACAGCATGCATGTTAGGTGATCCTGTTTTAACATATTGGTGTTTTTTAGCCTTCTCCTTTGAAGTCGTTTATGGATTAATTACCCATCGAGGTTCAAGAGAAGACTTGGGGTTTTTGCTATTTTTGCTATTTCACCACGTTTGGAGGATTATTACCACTTTTCCTGGAGATTTTGATTATTTTTTTGGGCTCAAGTACTAAGGATTCACTCATACGGAAAATACTTCTCACGCATGGACTATTTGATTAAGGACTCTCGGATATGTGTTAATTTTTCTGATTTGACTATTGAGTTATCAATACACTTTGTTGGTTAACCTGCTTATCTTTGTCTGATTTCAAGTATTGATACAGTTTTTTCCATTATTCATTCATGCCACGTGAGTGCCCTGAACTTTTAAGAGACTTCTGGTTTACTTGAGTTGCAAGCCAAGTTTGTTACAACATCCCTCCCATAACCATTTAAAATGCACAACACAGTATACGTTCTGTTTACTTGGACCAGACGGGATAGCCTTCATTGCCCTTGTGCATCGATGAGCCTTAAGTGCCCAACACCCTGTCACCGGTTTGTGGGTTTGCCCCTCCTCGGACCACTGTTGGTAAATTCTCAGCACTGCTGACCGGGAGCAACCCACAAGCCTTGCCGTTTCAGAGATACTCTGACCCTTTCGCCTTCTCATAACAATTTGCCACTTGTCAAAGCCTCTCAGATCTTTATTCCTGCCCATTTCTCCTGCTTATCCTCTAATCTACCCAGCACTAAAGGGATAGTTCACCCAAAAATGAAAATTCTTTCATTAATTACTCACCCTCATGTCGTTCCAAACCCGTAAGACTTTTATTCATCTTCGGAACACAACTGAAAATCTTTTTTCCCCTCCATAGACAGTTACGCAACTAACAGTTTGATTCTTCAAAAAGTTCATAAAGAAATCATAAAACTAATCCGTATGATTTGAGAGGTTTAGTCCAAAATTTTCGGAAGAGACACAATCACTTTATATGATGTACAGATTGAATTTAGTCCGAGGGGGTCCGGAAAAAAATGGTTGTTGATTTTGGCCTGTGGAATGTTGGTCCACTTCTCTTCAATGGCTGTGCGAAGTTGCTGGATATTGGCAGGACCTGGACCACGCTGTCGTATACGCCGATCCAGAGCATCATAACCTAACCCTAACCCATGCAGTTGTTATATTGCACAGAATGGAATCATTTCATGGTGTCTCTTGCCTATATGATTTGTGTGAATTTCTTGAATAGGAGGAGGAAATCTTGTAGGGTACACATCTTTTTCTTTTTGTTAGAAAATTAATTATGTAGTATGTTTATTAAATATGATTAAGTATACAAAATGACACCATTGTCAGGTGTGTGAATAGAGAACCCAAACGCAAAGGTGCGCTGATAATCTTTAATTTCAGTTCAGGAGAAACAACACAGGTGGCCGCTTGGCAAAACTTGAACAGAAGACAGTCTTTGGCAAATGTAACAAAAGTCTCTCAATTAATGAAACAGAAATTCTTGGCATTAGCCGAAACATGAATCCCAGATGATGGAGACTGGCTGGGCCCGTAGAGAGATGTGCGGGAACGCCAAACCGAAGACCACTCACGTTAGCTGAGGCTTGGATAAGCAGAGGCGAAGAACAGTGTCACCTGAATAATGACATGACGAGACGAGACGAGACGAGACGAGACGACTGGATCAACGAGCAGGTAGATACACAGCATATGACAATAATCTGAGAAAGAACAAAGGAAAAGGTAAGCCTAGAAATAGGGAGTAGAATCAGAGAAAGTGGGAAACAGTTGCGGAGAAGATGAAGGAAAGATGGGATAATGAGAAACGGCTGGAGATGAATGAGATAATGAGTGTGAATGAGAATGTGTAAGAGGATGCAATAACAAGTATGACCAGAAGAGGGAGGCAGAGTAAAGGAGAAGGATACCAGGATCATGACAACCAGCAACAACATGTATTATACTAATACAATTACAATAAAGTTTCATTAGTTAAAATAAGTTAACTACTTTAGTTAAAGTGATAGTTCACCCAAAATGTATTATGTTGTCATCACTACTCACCCTCAAGTTGTTCTTTTAGTATGAGTTTCTTTCTTCTGTTGAAAACAAAAGAAGATATTTTAAAGAATGTCATGGTAACCATAGAGGTTGGTAACCAGATTCTTCTGTGTTCAACAGAAGAAAGAACTTCATACAGGTTTGGAACAACAATTTCGTTTTTGGGTAAACTAAAAAACTTTAACATGAATTAAGAATGAACAATAGGCCTACTTCTAGCGTTTATTAATCTTAGTCAATGTTAATTTCAACATTTATTAAAAATGTATTGCATTGTTAGTTCATGTTAATTATAAAGTGTTACCGATTTACTTTTATAACCTTTCTAATTTCTTTTATTTTTTATTTATGGTTAAATCAAATAATCTGTCTGGTTTCACTGCAACTGCATGCTTTTCTCTACAGTAGGTGTGGCATTAGTGCTGTTGTGGAAATTTTAATAGTCATTGATCCCTAACAGATATCATAAGAGAGATAACCTATTCAATGTGTAAAAATATTTGTGCGTACGTGCTTGTGCGTGACGTTTCAGGAACATAAGGGACAGGACAACTGACCTTAGGGACGGCCAGTTTATTTCAGTACCAGTTTGTGTCTTTAAGTAGAGACTGAACAGCAGTAAAGACCTTATCTGGGTGGGTGAAAGGTACAGCGGGTGAAGAGGAACCTTGAAAAGAGTATAAAGGCTGTCTCATATCTTCCTGTTGTGTGTCACTCTCATGCACAGCGTAACTTCTGTGTGTCAGACTGAACCTGTTCTTGCAAGAATAAATCATTTTAAAAGACCTTTTGTCTTAGAATGTCTCTTACGCAGTGGTTGGTTGGTTAAAACTTTAGCCATTCGCAAGCAAAAAAACTACGTATCAGCAACTGACCAGGCTATCGCTGATGCCACCTCTGGTTGTGATCAGTTTGCATCACAGGGCTATGATGCGATTCAAGGCACTGAATTTGAGCGTGAATTTCCTCTTGCTTACTCTTTGGTTGTTCGCCAGGATGCAGCTCTTGTGGAGCGGATGCTCAGGGCCATTTATATGCCGTATAACATACACTCACCTAAAGGATTATTAGGAACACCATACTAATACTGTGTTTGACCAGAGACTATTTATATAGAGACATGCCACTTCCTCAATCCTCAATGCAACTATATAGACCAGGTGTGCCCAACCCTGCTCCTGCCGATCGACTGTCCTGCACAGTTCATCTCCAACCCTAATCAAACACACCTGAAGCAACCAATTAAGGTCTTCAGGCTCACTTGAAAATTAAAAGCAGGTGTGTTTAATTAGGGTTGGAGACAGTCGATCGGCAGGAGCAGGGTTGGGCACCCCTGATATAGACGAATCCGACGAGCGTTCTGTGTAGGCTGCCATCTTGTGGCGACGCCATTACTGAGCTGTTACCGGTATGTAAACAAACCTCCGTGATAACCAGTGTTGCCAACTTAGCGCCTTTGTCGCTATTTTTAGCGACTTTTCAGACCCCTTTGGCGACATTTTTTCAAAAAAGCGACTAGCGACAATTTTAGCGACTTTTTGGTCAAACCCCAGTAACCTCCAAATGTTGCCAGTACTGTCCTGTGAGCGCGAGGTCTTGCTTTCTCCCTGTCGTCACTCTCTCTCGCTGCGTCTCCCCTGTTCAGTGAATGGCTGAGAGGAGCGCACCACGGCCGCTGACAGACGCGAATGAGCAGTGTTTTTCCACGGACTTATCACTTATCAGCTTTTCTTTTGTTTTATATTTAAAGAATTTAGTTTGACCATTTTAATTTTTATTTATTTTCTTGTGCTTATTACTTGTAACACTCACTATCACAGAGCTTAGTTCATCCGGTTCCCTAACTCTCTCTATTCAGATAATGTTCCACATAGGCCTATAAAAAATGTAATCATTCACTATATTATAGCTACTCGTTCTATTGTCTGACAACAAAAAAATAGGAAATGAGAACAGCTTTATTTGACATTCGGGTATATTATATTAAATAGAGCATTAATTTAGAGAGAAAACGCACTAGGCTGACAGAACGCACGTACGCCGCGATGACGTCATTAATATGCTAAGTGACGTATGACGTCATCTAGTGACATTTAGCGACTTTTAGGGAAGGCCTTAGCTACTTTCCTTTGAAAATAGTTGGCAACACTAGTGATAACCATAGACTGTGGTGATAACGCACCCTCGATGACAGCTCTATGTGACAGCTACAGCCAGGCAGAATGACTTGTTGGGTTGATGATGTTAGACAGTGGCCTCCAGTCACAGATGAAGGAACAAACGATCTTACAGATTATTTATGAAAATAGATTGGCAAGCTAGCTAGGCTAACGTTAGCTAACGAGGAAATTATAATAAGATCTGTCCATTTGGCAACAATAAATAAATGAATGACATCAAATAAACGAATTCATGTTTTTCATTTGTGTCCATTATTTATCTCATTTTCACATTGCAAAAGGCAAGGGTAAGGTACAGCTAGAAAGTATACATAATATCGACCAATTAGTGTTTTTAAACCATGGAAAGAGGTCAATATAACAGCAGGAGAACAATTATGTCACATAACGTTACATTTAGCTCAGGAAAGCCATTGAATGACCATAGCATGTTAATTGAATAGAAAAAATAGCTAGAGAGGAGATTTTGCTGAGGACTATATTATTATTATTATTTTTTTTTTTTTACTTATGTCATTAAATAATTGTTATTATAGCAAAAAATGCATATTTAATTTAATTTATTTAAAAAAAAAAATCTGTCACAGTAAAGCAAATCAAACATTAACAACAGACATAACAGTACTGTTACTAACGTTACTACCCCAATGCGCCCCTTCTGTTGTTTTAAAGGTATTCAAGAGTATTTTCTCCTTCGCCTGGCATCCGATGATTTTTCAAAATGCCAACATGTTTTCCCACTCGACATTATAAAAGTTGTAACGTTAGTGACGGTCGTTAATCGCGGGCTGTTTATTCTAGTGGACGCAAGTTGCAAATAAAACAATAGGAGGCAATGGCGCAACGCTACCCAGCAACAGCTCAGTAATGGCGCCCGCTTACTTCCGGTAGTTTCGCCGGATTACGTCAAAGATGGCGGTTGTATGCATATGTCCCGCCCCTCCCGCTGGAAAGCCAATCGTCTGCTTTTAACAGTCAAGCCGGGAAACATTTAAGCCTATCGTCTGGTTCCACTGACGCATGCGCACAGTTGAGGTTTGCGACAGCGGAGACGATTTGGCGACAGCGAGTTGTTTTGTGCCATGGTGTTGTGTGCAAGATCAGATGGAATCCACATGGAAGAGGGTGATGATAACAACGCGGAAACACCGGACTACCAAGGTAGTTGTGGCGAGCAGGCCGAGGACGAGGGACATGAGAGAGCTGTGTGAGGCCGGTGGCGTGATTACTGATGAGCGGCACCTGCGCGACGCATCGTTCTCGTATCTCTCACGGAGGAGCGGAGGCATAAAAGGAGGAGCGACGACATGGAGATCGAGAGAGGAACAGGCCTGATTTTATGTTGTGTTTTGTTTCTGTTTTGTGTGGCCAGCAGCTCGTCCGGGGCTGCTGGCATACTTCCATTTTTGTATTTGTTTATTTATTAAAATGGTTGAATGTTCGCCGGTTCCTGCCTCCTTCTTCCCATAACATCTGAACCTTGTTACAGTAGTTAAAGCATTTTATATCGACCACAAATATGATACCTTACATTCTAAGTATGTGCTGTAGAGCACGACACCGGCATTCTGGATAGAGACGTAAATGAAGTTGGTGTCGTGAACCCTTGCGCATGCGTAGTAAAAGTATAACCTGTGGGGAAAAAGGTGTTTTAAACCTTCTTTTGGGGCAAAGTCATCAAACTTTTTCAGCGATTTTTATCATATTTTACTGCTGTTTCTATACATGCAGTTTTTATGTCCCGATGACCAGTGAAAGTGCAGTTCTGACTCTCTGCCCATTCATTTAGATAGGAGCCTGGTCTTGTTAGTCGGAAATAGCTGCCCGGAGGCGTTGCCAAGATGGCGGCCGAGTGGCATGACTTGCCTAAAAGGACTTTGGTTTGACCCCCTTTCGCCTTCAGAACTGCCTTAATTCTACGTGGCATTGATTCAACAAGGTGCTGAAAGCATTCTTTAGAAATGTTGGCCCATATTGATAGGATAGCATCTTGCAGTTGATGGAGATTTGTGGGATGCACATCCAGGGCACGAAGCTCCCGTTCCACCACATCCCAAAGATGCTCTATTGGGTTGAGATCTGGTGACTGTGGGGGCCATTTTAGTACAGTGAACTCATTGTCATGTTTAAGAAACCAATTTGAAATGATTCGAGCTTTGTGACATGGTGCATTATCCTGCTGGAAGTAGCCATCAGAGGATGGGTACATGGTGGCCATAAAGGGATGGACATGGTCAGAAACAATGCTCAGGTTGGCCGTGGCATTTAAACGATGCCCAATTGGCACTAAGGGGCCTAAAGTGTGCCAAGAAAACATCCCCCACCATTACACCACCACCACCAGCCTGCACAGTGGTAACAAGGCATGATGGATCCATGTTCTCATTCTGTTTACGCCAAATTCTGACTCTACCATCTGAATGTCTCAACAGAAATCGAGACTCATCAGACCAGGCAACATTTTTTCAGTCTTCAACTGTCCAATTTTGGTGAGCTCTTGCAAATTGTAGCCTCTTTTTCCTATTTGTAGTGGAGATGAGTGGTACCCGGTGGGGTCTTCTGCTGTTGTAGCCCATCCGCCTCAAGGTTATGCGTGTTGTGGCTTCACAAATGCTTTGCTGCATACCTCGGTTGTAACGAGTGGTTATTTCAGTCAAAGTTGCTTTTCTATCAGCTTGAATCAGTCGGCCCATTCTCCTCTGACCTCTAGCATCAACAAGGCATTTTCGCCCACAGGACTGCCGCATACTGGATGTTTTCCCCTTTTCACACCATTCTTTGTAAACCCTAGAAATGGTTGTGCGTGAAAATCCCAGTAACTGAGATTGTGAAATACTCAGACTGGCCCGTCTGGCACCAACAACCATGCCACGCTCAAAATTACTTAAATCACCTTTCTTTCCCATTCTGACATTCAGTTTGGAGTTCAGGAGATTGTCTTGACCAGGACCACACCCCTAAATGCATTGAAGCAACTGCCATGTGATTGGTTGATTAGATAATTGCATTAATGAGAAATTGAACAGGTGTTCCTAATAATCCTTTAGATGAGTGCATATTGCATACATTATGATCTGCAGTCCTCAGCTGACTTTATTTCAGCAGTGAAAGGTCTGGCCCGCTGCATCCCCAACGTCTTCATTGCCTCTAAACTGGAGAGGGTGCAGTATGCAGGCATCTCACGACTCAAAGCGGATCTGAATTGCCTGTCTAACCTGCTAGATTCTGTGGTAAAGTGGAAGTATGTCATCAACCTGTGTGGTCAGGACTTTCCACTGCGGACAAACGCTGAGCTGGTGTCGGACCTGAAGGAGCTGAAAGGCAGGATAATGGTGGAGAGCAAGCGGCCTGAAGGAAAGAAATGGCGCTGGAGTGTTCATCATATCCTGAAAAATAACAAATCTGAGTACTATGAAACGCCTGTTACCACTTCTGAGGAGAAATCTCCACCACCTTACAACATTGAAATGTTTGTGGGCAGCGCATACTTTACTCTCTCAAGGGAATTTATGTTTTTTGTTCAATGGAGTTTCCTAGCCAGTGATTTCTTGGCTTGGTCTGAGGTAGGGTTGGGTATCGTTTGGGTTTTATCCGATTCCAGTACCTACTCGGTATTTTTTAAACGGTTCCGGTGCTTAAACGGTTCTTAAATCGGTACTTAAGAAAATGAAACCGCACACACTTTATCAAAAAACAATACCCTTTAATTTACAGGGCCAAACTGGACACAATATTAACTTAAATCTTTAAACAATATAAATACAAGTAACATATGGTAATAATAAAACCAATATAAAATAAAAATTCATATTTACATAATATCAAATGAAACAATATTGTATCAAACAATGTAATAATACTGGAGATTAATAGAGATTACTAGCAGGCAGAGCTGCCAACTCTCACGCATTGACCGTGAGACTCACGCAAATGACCCTTTTCACACAGAAAAATCGCGGACAAAGAGGACACTGACAGACAAGACAGAGAAGGTTACTTTTGATATGGAACAAATCCACAGCTGTCAGATTCTGTCAATATTTTTACGAGATTCACACAATAAATAACGTTTTGGCTCTTTGAAATGTGACAGATCGCTGTAGCGCGTCAGTTCAAACGGCACGTGATACAGCAGCCTACAAATCCACTGCTTCTTAGCTACGCAGCGTTGAGTGAACCTATGAAAGAGAACATCTCTGGTTACTGGTGTAACATATCTCTCAATAGGGAACGGGACGCTGCCAAGCTCCTCGCGCTGCCGACCAGCTTCCTTTTTCGGCAGAGAAATCTGAGGAGCAGATGGCGCGCGCGCGCCAACATAGTATGACGACGTAAGTGCGTCGATGCGGCGCCCGCGCCATCAGCCAATGAATTGGCTTGATTCTATATGGGATTCAGACTATCGGCACACCCAGAGGGCGTTCTGACACGTAATTTTACACGTGAAATGCAGCCAAACCTTGTGAGAAAGAGCGCGCATGCGAGACAGAAGAAACTGTGCTCCAAACTGTGTAGCACACGCACGGCGGAGAGAGAGCGAGCGAGAGACCGTGTGTGTGTGTGTGTGTGTGTGTGTGTGTGTGTGCGCGTGTGTGCCTAATGAAGTTAGGCACCGAAATCAGGCACCGAAATTTTCGTTCTTATTCGGTCTGGTTACTACCGTTTACGTCGGAACCGGTTCCCTATTGGCACCGAGTTTCGGTACCCAACCCTAGTCTGAGGACACATACTCACCTGACGAGCATTTCTGGGCGACTCTGGTTCGTGTGCCTGGAGTACCAGGTGAGGTGCCAAGATCTGATCCTGAGATCTCAGAACTGATAAGTAAAACTCGCCTAGTGAAGTGGTCCTATTTAGAAGAGAATCTTTACCCACCGTGCACTGGAGACCATGTGCGAGGAGTGTGTATTTAGGGTGCTGCTGAGCTCAGATGGCTCCTAAACTATGGCCACTGGTTTGCTAATAAAGTAGATCCAAAAGTGGATCCTGTTCTTATACTTTACTCTGCACATTCAGAAAAACGTCTGAGTGTGCAGAGGTTCTTGTCCTGGAGTTCGCTGTAATGCTGACTGCCTGGCTGTATAAGTTATTCTCTGCCGCCCCCTGCTGTGTACAAAGCAATCGAGCATGAGTTGGCAAACCACTGTTAAGAAGTCCTATGGGGCTTTTCTGGTGCAACTTTACAAAACCAACAAGGTGCACTTGTTGGGGAATGGCCTTGTGAAAATAATATGGAAACCTTTTGTCCCATAATATCATATTACTGTACATAGGAGTGCAATTACAAGAGGTGATATAACAAATCCAGTACCGAAACATTTTAAAGAATGTAATCACATTTTCTTTTTTGATTATTGGCGCTGAACTTACAATTCCCAGTGATATTGACCAAATTCTAAAAAGATGAGAGGCATTTTAGAATTGTTTTTTATTTTAAAAGTTTATTTCCTAAACATGAAAAGTTGGGTCTAAGAATTTTTATGACATTTTAAATTGAAATAATGAATATAAAATATGTGTATGTGTAACTGGTCTCTTTTCTGCGTTGTGTTTATTTGCTTGGTTGGAGAAGAACAAGACAGCATTCGGCAGTTTCGCTGATCTTTTATTCCTGATATATACACAAACACATGTAATCAGCCTCTTTAGTGAGAGTCGCCCTCGTTAAATCTCTCACTGCATCACCAATGCAAAGAGAAATAAATCACAATAAAATGCATATAACAGAAAACGTACCTGATATATACACAAACACATGTATTAGAGTGAAAATATTGACATAAAAGCAACAATTAAAATTAGGATTAAAGATGATTATCGGGAGCCCAAAATAACCTCACCTCTCACTGCATCACCAATGCAAAGAGGAAGAGGAGGGGACAGAACAGGAAATTATATTGACTCATCAATTAAAGGGAAACACACTCAACTTCACTTAGGCAGTAATATCAGGTACATGTAAACGAACAATTTTGTGAGAATTCTAATAAACTATACATACATTTAACAGTGCACTTTATGTACCTGTTACACTCACCCCTCAGAATTTACACAAAATTCACCTGAGTATAATAAAAAAAACACTGGTCACTAGAATTACATGGTCCACACTTAAAAAAACAGTGGAAACACAGCATAAAAAGCTACCCAAACGAAAGGGATACAAAAATGAAGAAAGTTGGCCAAACTTCAACACATATTGTAGGCATTACCAAAGTGCCCATTACACTTTGAAAAATCTCAGACCAGGTACTTAAACAGAGCCAATAGGCATTAGAAAATACAAGACTTGACTTCTAGCATTTTAAGAGAAGCGGGAAGAAGAAAAAAAAAAAAAAAAGAAAAAAAAAAAGATCTAAACATGAATAACAGGAGATACCGACTCAATACCAAGTAAGGTTTCGAGTTGAACCATTGACTCAATCAACCTACGAACAGGCTTAATTACTCTACCAAGCCTGGTAGTGTAACGATCACTTGTATTTAAATCAGCTACAGGATCTCGTCTAAAGGGTTCACTGGCAGAGACAGGAGTTTGGGGAGAGTCGATGGCGCCAGCCACAGCCACAGTATTATCATCAGTCACCGACACAGCAACTTGTGCATTTGGCTCCTCTTGATTGGACAACTGAGAATGCACCCATGAAGAAGTGCGGACATCACCACAAATAGCAACATTGGAGATGTTCGACGTAGAGCCTGCATGTGAGAGTTCCTCAGCCTCATTCTGCCCATCATCTGCGTGCCCAGCAGACTCAATTTCGGCAACGTAGAAGGACTCACCACTGCCTGTCTGCTCGGTTAGACCACCACAGTGTGCTGCATCAGATGTCTGTGAAGGTAAACTACAGGCAAGTGTTTCAGCAACATCATGATCAGAAATAACCATTTCTGGTTCAAGCAGCGGGAGGAAGTTCACTTGAAGTAGAAGATTTCGATGCACTATCCTCTCATTACCAGCTCTGTCACTGATCTTATAGACATGTATGGATGGCTTTGAGGCAACAACAGTGTACATGACTGGCTCCCATTTGTCAGCAAGTTTTCTTTTCCCTCTACAACCCTTGTTAGCCACAAGCACTTGGTCACCAACGGCTAGAGGTAGGCCTTTAGCTCTTTTGTTGTACTGGCTGGACTGGTGTTTTTGTTCCACAACAGCATTTTTCTGTGCTAACGCCATGGCAGACTGGAGGTCGCTGACAAGAGATTTGACATACTTGTCATAGTCACAGATTGTCTTATCCTGCAGGACACTGCGGAACATGAGGTCAACTGGCAACCTTGGTACCCTACCGAACATCAGGTAAAAAGGGGCGAAACCTGTTGTTTCGTGTGCTGTGCAGTTGTACACAAATGTCATAGTCTGTATCAACTGTGGCCACCTCTGTTTAGGCCTAGGTGGAAGAGATCTCAGCATATTTCCTAATGTCCTGTTAAAACGTTCGGTACCACCATTCCCCATTGGGTGGTAAGGGGTGGTTCTTGACTTGTCAACTCCAGCCAGTTCAAGAAGCTCGGCAATCAACTCACTCTCAAAGGTAGCCCCCTGGTCAGAATGGATGCGTTGGGGAAATCCATAGATGCAGAAAAAGCTGTCCCAGAGTTTCTTAGCCACTCTTTTCGCTGTCTGGTCTTGACACGGGAATGCATTCGCCAGCTTTGTGAAGTGATCCGTGACCACTAAAACATCCACAGATTTGTTGTTCCGATCTTCAGCGGACCAGAAGTCAATGCAAACGAGCTCCAGTGGGGCAGTGGTCTTAATACTCTCCAAAGTGGCTCTCGCTGCAGGCTCTGGAGTTTTGCTGAGGACACACCTGGGACATTTCTTCACGTAATCACGCACATCACGCTCCATGTCAAGCCAGAAAAACCTCTGACGGGTCAAAGACAGAGTACGAGGCTGCCCTTGATGTCCAGCCAGGTCGTGAACACCCAAAAGTGCCTCAGATTTCAATGAGTCAGGTAAAACGAGTTGGAACTTCTTGTGCTTGGTGAGCGGGTCTTTAATAGCTCTGTACAGGATTCCATTAAGCAAAGAAAGCTTGTCCCACTGCTTTATAATTCTCAGCACACACTGGTTATCATTGGCACGCTCACGTCTCGATGGTCTGCGCTTCCTGCCGACATAATAAGACACCCTAGCAATGACAGGGTCTTTGTGCTGATGTTTTTGCAAGTCTATCAGTGAAAGAGAGCGAAACACTTCCTCGTCTCCACTGATTAAAGAGTTGAGATGTTCTGCAACCGATGCTGCTCTACATTCAGTTCCTGTTTCCCATTCTTCACAGGACGACAAAATGGAAGACACGTCATCAGTGGACATTGATGTATCCAGCCCAGCATCATGTGATCCTGTCCCTACTGTTTGCGGTTGGCAGGTAAGACGGAACAACTCTTGCACATTTCCATCCTCTACACTGTGTACTTGTCGCAACAGTTCAGAATAAGGCTCGGACAAAAGCCGCTGACTCACTGGCCTGACAAATGGATTCCTACTGAGCGCATCCGCCACCACGTTGAGTTTTCCAGGAACGTATTTGATCTCAAAGCAATATGGAGCAAGTTTCGAGACCCAGCGCTGCTCACATGCATCCAACTTCGGCTTGGTCATAATGTATGTCAGCGGATTATTATCTGTCCAGACAGTAAACTCATGTCCCTTAAGCCAGTGACTGAACTTGTCACACACCGCCCACTTCAGAGCTAAGAATTCCAGTCTGTGTGCAGGATATTTTGTTTGGCTGCGGCTCAAAGCTTTGCTAGCAAACGCTATTGGTCTTGCCTTGTCCTCACCAGCAGGGATCTGAGACAGTACTGCACCTATGCCATCCAATAAGGCGTCAGTACAGAGAAGAAAAGGACGCTCAAAATCAGGATGAGCCAGCACCACACTGTCAACAAGGGCCCTTTTCAGCTCTTCAAATGCCACATCACAGTCAGGGGTCCAGTCCTGGGGTGTCAACTCACGAAAAGTGCCTGCTCTCTTGCGACTACCAGCAGCTTTCACTGAACGTTTCTGGCCAGCCGTTAAGTTGAATAAGGGTCTGGCAATGCGTGAGCAACTTGGAATGAAGGATTGATAGTACAGGACCATACCAAGAAACGATCTGATCTTTTTTTGTGAAGGTGTGGTTTTGTTTTCCTTCATTAAATCCTCCTTCTGAAAAGCAGAGATGACTTTAACTTTCTCCTCATCAACTGAAACACCAGTACCATCTATCACATGGCCCAGGAACTTTACGGTTTTTCTCAGAAAGTGACACTTTTTAGGTGCTAGCTTCAGGTTACTGGTTCTCAATCGAGAAAACACAATCTCCAACCGCTTCAATGCCTCCTCTTCAGAAGGTGCAAAGACCAACAAGTCATCCAGATAACAGAGCAGAGTGGAAAAGTTAAGGTCTCCGAAAATACTGAGCATCATGCGCATGAAAGACGCGGGGCTATTGCAAAGACCTTGAGGAAGACGGTTATACTCATACAAGCCCATTGGTGTTGTGAAGGCAGTGTATCGTCGGTCAGACACATGGAGTGGGATGTTGTAAAATCCTGAAGTTAAGTCCATGGTGCTGAAAAGAGCATTACCACCCAAGGCTGCGAGACAGTCAGCTTGATGGGGCAGAGGGTGGGCGTCTTTGATGGTTTTTGCATTGAGCCAGCGAAAATCAGTGCAGACCCTCAAATTACCGTCTTTTTTCCAGACCATCACTAAGGGTGACGCATACTCACTGACAGACTTGCTGATTATGCTCTTCTCTTCCATTTCTGACAACACTTCTCTCAATTTTTGATAGTGGGCAGGTGGGATGCGGCGATAGGGCAGACGGAATGGACGCTCATCATAAAGATGGATCCTGTGCACAAAATCCTTTGTCTCTCCACAATCCAGCTTATCCTTTGAGAAAACATCATGGTAGGATACAAGAAGATCCGTCAATTTCCTCTTACACATCTCAGAGACTTCACATCCATCAATGTCAATTTCACTAT